CTCCCCCCCCCCCACCCCCCGAGTGTAGCTTATTGTCCCAGAGAAGAAAATGTCCCAGGGTGTATATTAATGGCTTTAACTACATGCTTCTTGTTGTTGTTGTTCGGAAGTGCAGAGTATTTTCTGAATAACAGAAAATGTTTCTTATTCCTTACCTGCTTCTTTCCTCTGCCTCTTTTTGAGAGGCCGGTAGTAAGTAAATCATAAATTAAGATTCCCGATAGCAGTGAAGTCTGTTGACAGATTCTTCAGGGCTCTGTTTTCCCATACTGGGTTTTTGGTATCAACCTGTCAAACAACTGTGAAACAGCTCAGTTTTTCAAACATTTGTACATGTTCCAGAGTCTCCTGATTATCTGACAGGAGTTATTGATCTTTTTGAAATATAATCTCTTTTCAAGTGTTTCTAACCATTATTTTTAATTATGTGATCAAAATAATATAGATTTAAACTTATGGCTAAAGACAGGCTGCTGTTCACCTCAGCACTACTACCTAAGAGAAATAGCAAATTATTTCGTTGCTTTCTACTTACGATGTAGAGGATAATAGACTTTTTAATTTAACAGCACACTAAGCCTTGAAACTAACAGTTCCTGAAAGTTTTCAGTGAATTATATACCTCCACAATGACTGAAATATCAGTGTTTGCAGAAATTTTTAAGAAGTTCTCATTTACTTATGGATACTAATAACTTGTAATGAAGATCTAATGGTTTACTCAAAATATACCATAGGATTAGATTTGAGACAGTAAAATTTTAAGCAGGGTGCTAGCGAGTTCCTTGTTTTTCCTTTTTTTGTTTTTTGATTTTGTTTTTCATTTTAACCACTATTTTGAGGTGTGATTGACATATGAAAAGCTGTACATATTTAATGTGTATGTCTTGAAGAGTTTGGGGGTAAGTGTACACCTGTGAAACCATCACCATCATAAAGGCCATAAACACATTCATCACCCCTCAAAGTTTCCTCCTGCCCCATTTATTATACTGTTGTTTCTTCCATTTGTTTTTAATTTGTAACTATGGCACAAACACTTTCTGGGAGGTTATGGAAAAGTTGCGTGCTTAATAGAATGGCACAGATAGGCCCCATTTTATTTTTATTTTTCAATATATTTTAACATTCACTTGTACATATTTGTGGGGTACAGTCTTTTGTTTCAAAACATGCAAATACTGCACAGTGATTCACTTAAGGTCGGTATCAAAGTTTTGTACCTGTCAGTTCACCACTTTCCTCCTTCCCATCATCCCCACCTGCCCCTGGGCCTCTGGTATACATTATTTTACTCTCTACTTCTATGAGAACCACTTTTATTTATTTATTTATTTATAAAGACTCACATATGAGTGATATGTGGTATGTGTCTTTTTGTGCCTGACTTCGCTTAACAGGATGGGTTCCAGTTCTATCCATGTTGCTGCAAATGATAGGACATCATTTTTTTATTCTTTTGTGTATATATACCACAGTTGTTTTTTTTTTTATTCATTCATCTGTTGATGGGCATTTAGGTTGATTTCATCTCTTGGCTATTTTGAATAACGTTGCAGCGAACATGGGAGTGCAGGTGTCTTTTTGATATATTGAATTTATTTCCTTTGGGTATGTACCCAGTAGTGGGATAGCTGGGTCGTAAAATGGATCTATTTTTAGTTCTCTGAGGAACCTCCATACCGTTTTCCACAATGGCTATACCGGTGTACACTCCCACCAGCGATGTAAGATAGTTCTTTTTTCTCTGCATCCTCACCAGCATTTGTTATTTTCTGTCTTGTTAATAATAGTCATTCTAACTGGACTAAGACAATATCTCATTGTAGTTTTAATTTGCATTTCCCTGATGATTAGTGATGCTGAGCGTTTTTTCATGTGCCTTTTGGCCATTTGTATGTCTTATTTTGAGAAATGTCCAGGTCCTTTGCCTGTTTTTTAATTGGGTTATTTGTTTTTTGCTGTTGAGTTGCTGAAGTTCCTTATATATTCTGGATGTTAGCTCCTTGTCTGATGTGTAGCTTGCAAACACTTTCTCCCATTCTGTTGATTTTCACTTTGTTGATAGTGTCCCTTGCTGTGCAGAAACTTTGTTTGATGTAGTCCCATTTGTGTGTTTTTGCTTTAGTTGCCTGTGCCTTT